TTTCCCTTTTTATAAGGATATCCATCATACTGGATTTGGACCCACCTTGGCAACCTCATTTTAACTTGATAACCTCTGTAAAGACCCTCTTTCTAACCAAGTAAAAGCACATTCTAAGGTACTCAGGGTTAGAATTTTGGGGAGTTTTCAGCAATTCAATGCATAACAGATATTTAACTCTGTTTTTTCTTGTGCTTATTGGCCAATGTATGTTTTCTTTGGACAAAGGTCTATTCAAATTATTTGCACATTTTGATTGATTGATTGAGTCTCACTCTGTTGCTTAGGCTGGAGTCTAGTGGCATGATCATAGCTCAGTGTAACCTTGAACTCTTGGGTTCAAGCCATCCTCCCACCTCAGTCTCCCTAGTAGCTGGGACTATAGGTGCAAGCCGCTGTGCCTGGCTATTTGTCTTTTTATTGTTGACCTGTAAGAATTTATGAGATTTTGAGAGAGAATACCAGTGACCTATCAAAATTGGTCCTGCATTATAAAAGCAAGATCAAAGAGCCCTGGGTGAGAAATGGTGTTTGACTTCAAGTTCTAGACCTGTTTGTGCACCTGGGCAGCCTTGATTAGTTTCTTAACCTCTTTGTGATTCAGTGTTTTCATCTTATTAATACATTTGGTGACTGCAGTGGCAATTGAAGTGCATTGTAATTCTATAGGAAAGATGCCTGTCCTGTACTTACTGACAGTATTCGGAGACAGGAGGGTCTCAGTAGTGACCCAAGGTTATGTCTGCCTGCTAGATATCTTAGACCCAGTCACCTCTGCTGAGGGCTTCTAAGGTGCGCTGACTTTTTCTGACCGTCCTGTTGGTGTGTTTGCATGACTCTTCCCTATTCTTGTCTCCCAGGCTCAAAATTGTCATGTTTTTTGTTACAGATGCCAGAAAAATCCACACTGCCCCTGCCCGAAGCGCGTTCCTGCTGCGCCCCCTGCCCATTCTGTTGGCGACAGGCGGTGGATATGCAGGGTACCGGCAGTATGAGAAGTACAGGGAGCGAGAGCTAGAGAAGCTGGGATTGGAGATTCCACCCAAACTCGCTGGTCACTGGGAGGTAGGAATGAGGCAGAACTGCCTTGGGTTCTCGTCCAGCAAACTGTCACTTTTCCAGTTGTTCCAAAGTTGAGATGTTTCAACAAGTCAAATACTTTTTCTTGGAGCTCATGTCTCCAGTAGCTTTTGGCCAGATATAAGAGTTACACCTTTGGTGTCATGTCAAGCTTGTATTCTGTCCCCAGACCTAACCTTGGTCTTCCCAAGGGTTCAGAGTAGAAATTCCTTGTTGTCGAAGTCTCAGAGCGTATGTTTGAGTTGGTGCTGACATCCTGGCTGTTATGATATTCTTGCCCTTGTTAGTCCGAAGAAGGCTGAAACTATTGAGCTTTTGTGATGTGGATTAGTTCTCACCAGGAACCAGACAGAAATAATCAAATTCCTTTGTCATTATTGCTCATAATGCTTCCTCCCATCATAGTCACAAGATCGGGACAGCCAGCATTGCTGTCAAATGCATGATATATAACAAAACATCATTTTCATCTGTGCTTCCCAGTCCCAGGGCGATGCCTGACTCAGAGGAGACGTTCAGTGAAAAAGACATTCAGAAAAAAGAGGCCGGACATGGTGGCTCAGGCCCATAATCCCAGCATTTTGAGAGGCCAGGCCGGGCAGATCACTTGAGACCAGGAGTTCAAAACAGCCTGGCCAACATGGTGAAACCTAGTCTCCACTAAATATACAAAAATGTGGCGGGCATGGTGGCAGGTGCCTGTAATCTCAGCTACTCTAGAGTCTGAGGCAGGAGAATCACTTGAACCCAGGAAGCGGAGGTTGCAGTGAGCCGAAATCACATCATTGCAATC